ACTATTGGGTTTAAATCCTGATAGTGTGGAGAGTGATGAAATTCCAAGATTATTGTATAGGCGTTAGAGGCAAAAAATAACAATCTGAGATGGCATGTATTTATTTAAAAATGTAACTTATTATGGCATGGGGTTCCATGCCATTGTATTAATATTAAAAGACAATTCTTTGAGAGGATTTGCATTATACTAGAAGTGTTACAGCATGTTATTGGAAGTCTACGAAGTTGTTTTATTAATAAGGGGAAAGTAAAGATTGAATGGGGACTTGGGCTCCACCTAGACTCGGAGCAACTGAGCCAATATTAAAAGGATGAAAAGAAATTGAACGACGATGACAAGGAGAAGAGAGAGGTGAAGCAGTGGCAGGGGGAGGAGAAGTGATTGAGTAGACATTTCCTTGTTTAAAATAAAATGGTATGTGCCTCAATGCAGTTGAATTTTGTTATATTTATATACTATATAAAGGTTTGGAAACCTTATTTTACAAGTGGGATAATGACAATTCCCACTTTAACGAAATAGAGCTTCATAGCCAATTTAACATTTTACAAACATCACGAATATGCTCTTCCTATGTCCCCTTTGAGTGGATCAAAACATCATCAATGAAGTCAACAATCACATCTGGTATATCACAAAGAACCTCATTTGTCATCCGCTGGAAAGTTGTTAAAGTATTCTTCAAACCAAATGGCATCACCAAGAACTCGTACAAACCAAACAGTGTACAAAAAGTATTCTTAGAAATATCTTTTTCAGCCATTGATACTTGCCAGTACTTAGAAGCAAGATCTAGCTTGGTGGACCAATGACTTCGCCACAGACAATCCAAAAGATCAGCAGTGTGAGGAAGAGGGTACACATCCGGGATCATCACTTCATTTAATGGACGATAGTCAATGCAGAAATGAATACTCTCATCAGGCTTCGTCACAAGATGAAGTTCATATGCCCAAGGACTCCACAACTTTCGAATAACACCCTTCTTCAATATCTCCTTGATGTTTTCACGTAAAATCTTGATCTCTTTGGGTGACCAATGACGAACAGGAACCTTGATTGGATGAGCATCCCTAGTTGGAATCGGATGATGGGTGGCAATCTTGGCCCCGGACAATAGGTTAAATTCAAAAAGATTAGAATACTCCTTCATGAGCCGGTTAATTGCTATAGCACAAAGATTGTCGAAGGGATCAGAAAAGGAAAGAGCAGAACAAGACAGAAACATAGGAGGAAATAATGGGGGGACAAAAGTAATGGAAGCAAAGGTAAAAGCAGAGGGACAAAGAAGTACGGAAATGACAGGAATGGATGAAATATAAAGAAGTATGAGAGAAGGGGGAAAAGCCTCAAAGTCACACTTGGCATGATTGCATTGCAACCAATCCATACCAAGGATGAGGTCAAAAGTTTGACTCGGCACCACCTGCAATGACTGCAACCCAAGCTTGAGATCACCCACACACACCACTAAGTCCACCTCATCCCATGCACATGCGTACAACCGTTGCCATAAAGAATGAAAACTAGCTCTGCCGCATGATGCAAATGTAGACAGTAACATGTGGCAACAGGTCGAGCAATAAAAGATAAACTTAAATCTGTATCAACTAACATGGATAGGATAAAAGGAGACCTCTTATTATAAAAATGAGCTTGGAAAGTAAACACTGGATGAACTAATGCCGAGTGAACCTCTTGATGATACTCTGAAAGAAAAATAGAGGAGTCACTAACTTATTCATGCAAGGTCCCTCTGTTACTTGTGTGACTCCTCGTTTTCCAGATGCACCTCGGTGTCTAGACCTTCCAGTGCAATAACACCAACAGGACGTTGTTGACGCCAAAGTCTTCACCCAGGAAATGGAGGTCGCCAATCCGGAAAATGCTGACAACACCGATAAATATGACCAACTTCATCACACGCCCAGTAGTGAACATCACGGCTATGACCACATCCTCGCCTTTGTCTTGAACTCGAGCAACAGTAGCATCAACCTCCATTGGAACAAGATCATCGCCCACAAACGAATGCCAAATTGCATCACTAACTCAGATGGCCCTTGATGAAGACGATATAATTATTGAAAGGCATCATCACAATCATCAGCATGTCTAAATGCGCATTTGAAGACGTCCGGGAGAACACTCCAATCCCTACAAATGGTTGCACTCAAACCATTGTACCATTACAGCACCATCCCTTAGAGACATGTGGGAAACTCATGTAAACGTTGAGCATCATCCCAAGAATGATATGTGGCATTCACCATGAAGTGATCGAACCAATGGTACACATCATCCCCAGGATTCCCACGAAATAACTTTGGCCAAACAGGAGGATTGGCACCAAGAGCTGAAGGAGTTGTACCACGTGCCATGAATGCTGCCATCAACTGAGTTTGGTTGTTCAGTTGCAAAGTGCATGGCATCAAGCAATTGCACCAACTGCTGCTCTAGAGTTAGAGGAGGAGACTGTTGCTCTACCATGAAGATGAATGAAAAGAAAAGAGCAAAAGAAAGGAAATGAAAGAAAACTAGAAGGAAAAGGAGATCTAGAGAATGGAAAAGCTAAATCTAAACTAGAATCCTGAAAGGAAAGAACAAAAGAAAGGAAATGCCCCTCATCTCCACCAATGTGAGTGATTGGAATATGGAAAGGGAATACAAAAAATGTGCATCTCAATTAGCCCAAAAACCGTAGCTTATATATAAGAGCGAATGGTTCAGATTAAAACCAATTCGACAACTGCCAAAATCCCACTATGCTAATAATACTTTATTTCGTTAAAGTGGAATTTATTCAGTAAAGTGGGATATTAATTAGCATGTGTCCACATGCCATTTCCTAGTACTTAATTAATATTTATTAATATTTCTATCAGTTTTTTAATTTATTTTTTATATTTCACAATATTATAACACAAAATCATATGAAAAATTTTTAATTTATAAATTATAAAGCTAAAACTTCAATTTTTTATTGTTGTTATAAAAATAGCATGTGGCCACACACCATAGGTGGGATAATGAAATGTTCCACTTTAACGAAATAAAGCATAATATTAGTATACGGCATCGTAACTGTACACTTGGACTTTATAAAATGAATTTATTTTTTTATTTATTAATTTTAAAATTATATTTAATATGCCATACTGCATATCAAATTAAACTATGATATACAACAAAATTCCCATCATCTTGTAAAGCTAGAATTAAATTTATAATATTTATCACTTGACTATAAAGAAAATTTATTTATTTTATATAAAACTAAATTACCATCAGTTTGAAGTATTAATATACATCCATTTTCTCCAAGATTACCAGTATTTAATTTCTAATATTCTTGTGAGCTTGGGACATAAAATAATTGTAACTCACAATTTTTAAATAAATTTAGTTAAAAAATTTATTTCATGAGAGTTTTATTATACCTAGCACACTCAAACTCTCTTCCATTATCATGTGATCGAAAAGTTGCATATGTCTTTCTATTAATTGGAAATGTGTATTATCCAGTATATGCATAATTATTTTTGGTGCTAAGCTTGTAATACTCCCCCTTATGCTGCATAATTATTTTTGGTGAATACTCACCCTTATGCTACAAAAGGACATTTGAAGTCAATTATAGTTTTCCATTTATTTGAATTGGTGGCATTTGATTTAATGGAGCCTTTTTTACAATCAATTGTTGGTAATAAATATGTCATTATTGCTTCTAATTACTTAATTTGCTAGGTGGAAGTTGGTGCTCTTGCTAATGCATCTATAATTATTGTTGAATATTTCCTCCTCAATCAAATGGTGTTTTAACATTTCTATCTGGAATGAATTCTTTCAAACAATGGTTCCATATTTATAATTGAGGCATTTTATATTTTAACATTTTGGTTGGGGATATGTTAAAATTTCACAAGTGTTTATCATCCATAATCAAATGGTTTAGTAGAACAGCTTGTTTGGACTATTAAAGATATGATCGTGAAGTATATGAATTTTCAATATTTGGATTGAGATGGTTATTTGTCATCTCTTTAGTATGTATATGTCACAAATGTGCAAAATTCTATTGATGCTTCACTATATAAACTTTTATTGATACTACTAACGGAGTTGAGTTTACCTTCACAACTACTACGAGATGTTGATGTTAAGTTTTAAGATTAATATTTAACAAGCACTTCCACTTATTCAAACAAAATCTTCCAAGCAACTAGGCCATGTATAAATGGGACAACAATGGCATTACAACTTTAATCATTATCCATCTATGGAGTACAAAGTGGATGACTTGGCATTAATTTGTTTTCCCAACCTTATAGTATGTGGTTCTCCTTGCTTAATGAAAGGGACCATATCAAATGTTGCAGTAAGTTAGATCACAAGTTTATAAAGTTTGGCATAACGTCCAACAAGTAAATTCTCTAGAAATTATGCATGTGTAACAATTGAAACACTTCGTACAAAGGGATTAAAAACAATTAACACCACCTATAAATCCATCAATGCCTCCTCTTGAAATTCTTCTAGATCCTAGCTTATCCATGAAAAAACCCTAACTAACTATCTTCCAGCATTCCAAGAAGAAAGGATGATATAAAGTCAAGTGTATAATTATAATGCTATATATTAATATTAACATAATAAGATTTTGATAACTGTCAAATTGATTACACTCACAATTAAGCAAACCATGGAACAATCGAGACCAACCATGATTTGGAGCTTCCAACAGCATAGGGACAAGAAGCATCATTGCTTGGGCAGGCTCTTGAGAAATCCCAACCTCTAGATCTGCAACTACCAGATATGGAGTCCCGTGAGCTCTCTCCCTCCCAAAACTCTGGAAACGCTAGAGCTTCTCGTGGAAGCAGTGTGTGCGAATTGCTATCGCTGGGGTGGGACGAAAGTTGTGTACGTTTGTCCTCCACACAAAACGGCTATAGAGGCCACGGAGGTGGACGAGAAGAGCTTCCAGGATTCTACTCATGGTTTTGGAGCTGATATATGAGGCCAAGTTCTTGAGAAGATCGTTTGGATATAGGGCGGGAAGAGGTGCTCGTGAGTGCCTGCGATTCATCCACAGTAACTTTGGTGATGTCTCGTGGACTGTGAAAGGAGATCTCTCCAAGCTCTTCGATTATCCACAGGCCGAGCTCTTCAACCGGGTTCTACGCAATGTGATCCAGGACGACAAAGTTGGCGAGCTGATCATCAAGGGGATGAAGACACGTGCTCCTCTGGTCGTGCCTCAGTTTAAGAGATTGAATCCGACAAAAAGAAAGTTCCTGGAGTTTGAGCCGAGAAGGACTCCGTTGTGGCTGGAGGTGGTTCTGGGATTTGCTCCGGCAGAGGCTCAAAGAACTCCCGACTGGGGATGCAACAAGCTCGGTCCGTTTCTGGCCAACGTTTATCTAAGCGAGCTCGACTCCTGGAAGGAAAAGCAGGCCGAGCTGTTCCGTCGGCCTCACGATCCGTCCGTCGGTTTAAACTTTAGCACCGACGAGCAGGAGAAGCCAAACAATGCTAGGAAAATGGAGTACGTCCGCTTTGGAGCTCACTTCCTTATCTCGGTCAGAGGCATAAGAGACGACGTTTTGAGCTTCGAGGAGAAGTGTAGAGTCTTCTGCAAGCAAAAGTATCATCGCGAGCCGGATTTTGGAGCACCTGAGGCGATCTCAACGCCGACGCTGTTCCTCGGCCACCATTTTTTCCAGACCAAGAAGTTGAAAACGAAATGGGAGCCGTCCTCAAACAAGAGAGGAACGGTTTCGAAAGTGGAGAAGATCGTCTTCTGCGTGGACGGCGCTGCGGAGCACGCCGTCCAGAGCTTGAAGCGAGTAGGCGTTCTCGACGACAAAGACAACACGTTTCCATGCATGCGGCTCTTTCACGAGGACCAGGTTCACAACAATGCTCGTCAACAAGATCTTGCGAGCGCTGGCCGACTTGTACCAGCACTCGACAAACCGAGCGGAGATGTGCGAGCTACTTGTTTCGATTGTCGCTGGCGAAGATGTATGCTGCGAAGCACAAGCTCCGGACGCAGATCCAGGTGGCCAAGTCCGCGTCCTTGGATCTTTGCAAGCCACTCAAGGATCCTCAAAAGGCCGGAGGAGAACCACAGACGGAGGCGGTGCGCATACCAGAAATTAATTAAATCCCATATTTCCTCCATAATTTACATAGTAATCTTTGTCAACACTGGACGACAAAAGAGCTCTCCAAGAAAGAATCGCTCGCTCCCTGGAGGAACGTAAGCTCGTCTTGCAGATGCTTAAGAGCAGTAGCATGTTGGTCAGGAGGACAATCGCTGCAAGTTCCCAGCAGATATCCAAAATCAAAACCGCTGCCCCGCTTCGAAAAATCGGAACCAGCACTGACAAATCTCCCCTGAGAAGCCTGCTTTGCACACACGGAAGCCACTTCCAGGAGCACATGTGAATCAACCCCGTCTTTGAGCTTCACAACCATGAAGACTTTGGGGCCGTCTCCCACTTGAGAGGCATCGTTGGTCTCCCAGTCGAGCACGAAGTAGTCGTCGCATATTTGCCTGCCCATCTCCACAACTTTGAGATGCTCGGGATGTGGCAAGTAGTGCGCAAGAGCTTCTTTCCCGGAGAACCTGGCGTAGAGGGCGTGAGTAAATGAAAACGTACCGCTGATCTCCGCAATCCTGGCAGCTCTGAAGTAGAGAATGCCATCCAGGCTCTTGAGACTGTTGAGCGCGTGTAGCAATTCTTCTTCTTGAGAATTTGATAACTCCTTCTTCAGCCTTAGGAGGACCAAGTGCTCCACAAAAGCCATAGCTGCGGTTGTGGAAAAGGAAAAACTTTGTTTCTGAGAATGGATAAAAAAAAACAAGGCACTTACCAGCGACATGAAGCTTCCGCGAGTAGACAAACTTAGTCAATTCATCATCTACCGTTCTTCGTCATATCTCTGAAAGTTTCAAAGAGTCACGTCTTGGATGAGAAACATCCGCGCAAGTTCTAGTCATCGACCAGCTAGTTCCAAGTTCCTTGGCCAGCACAACTAGTCCATCCTGGAGTCCCTCTGGACGGAGCAGCCTGGCTACACTTCTCAGAGTTTTCTCTTGTAGCGGCTTCCAGTCGTGAGCTATGGCTTCTGGAACGCTGTAAACAAGCGCCAGTCCGCATTTTCGAAATTAGAAAAACAGAAAACTAAATGGTATCAGAGGGAGGTTTCGATCCTCCGACCTGTGCTGCGCCACTCTGATTCCTTGATTTAAATATTTAAGAGTCTAAAACAGGGTTTAATATTAAATAGTTTAATACATTTTGAATTAAAACAATATTTTTAAAGCTGTTGAATTTGCATGAAAACTTTACTTTGCTCTTTGGCTGCCACGAATGAAGCAGGGCTTTACAGTGCAAGCTTTGAGAATGAGAAGCATCGCGTTGCAGAGCTCGTAAGAAACACTAGAGATGTAGCCACTGCAAGTCGAGTTCACTGGAGCATACACAAGAGCAGGCTCTCCAAAAACAAGTATATCTCCAACCTGCTCGTCCAAATGTATGGCAAACTTGGCAGCCTTGGCGAAGCACTTCAAGTGTTCGATTCAATCGCACAACCCAATCTTTTCTCCTGGAGCATTGTTGTGGTGGCATTTGTCCAGAATGGCGAATTGGAGAAATCATGGACGCTTCTCGAAAAAATGCCCGAGACCAACGTAATTGCTGTCACAGCCATTTTGACAGCTTATGCTAAGCAGGGAAACTTACACGAGGCCAAGGTGATATTTGACAATGCCCCGGAGAGGAATCTAGTCACTTGGAATACTATGCTCCAGGCATATTCGCGGACAGGGCATCTGAAAGAATGTAGAAAGATCTTCCAGGACATGCCAGCCAGAGATTCCGTGTCATGGAATATGCTAATCACAGCCGCTGTAAACAACGGCAGTGTGGAATATGCGCGGGAATGTTTTCAACTGGCTCCCGACAGAGACGTGGTACTCTGGACAACCTTGCTGGCGGCATATGCCGAGATAGGGAATCTGGAAGAAGCAAAGGGGTTGTTCGACCGGATGCCGTCCACGGATGTGGTGACGTGGACGGCCATGATCATCGCCTACGCTCATAGCGGCCACCTTGAGGGGGCTAGAGCCGTGTTTGATAGAATGCCTGAAAGAAATGTCGTGTCCTGGACGAGCATGGTGGCGATTCTCGGCAAAACTGGCATGGTGGGCGATGCTAAAATCATCTTTGATTCCATGCCCGAGCAAAATGAGGTTTCGATCACGGCGATGATCGCTGCATACGCGAAACATGGCCAAGTAGAAGCCGGAATGGCACTGATAGATCGAATTCCAACCTTAAACACAGAGATTTGTACGACGATGATCCAAGCTCATGCCCAAGTCGGAGATTTAGACCGTGCAAAGAGAATGTTTGATTCGATGAGGGATCACGACGTAATCGCGTATAACACAATGATCAGTGCATATGTCGATTCTTTCAAAGTAGAGCACGCAAAGTGTTTGTTCGACAAGATGCCTGTGCAGAATCTTGTGACATGGAATGCTATGCTTGCGGCATATGCCTTGAATGGGCATCTTGATCAAGCAAAAGAGTTGCTGCTTTCAATGCCGGACAAAGATGTGGTGACATGGACAACGGTGATCATAGCATACGTGGCTGCTGGAGACCTGGACACGTCACAGATATTGTTTGACAACATGGTCGAGCGGACGTCGGTGTCTTGGGCTGTTATTCTTGCAGCATATGCCCAGAGTGGGCATCTTTGCAAAGCAAGAGGAATCTTCGACGGGGTACCCTGTTTAAATGCTGTGATATGGACGTCAATGGTGGCAGCGCATGCGCACTTTGGACTTGGGAGCCAAGCCGTTGATCTCTTCCAACGCTTGAACCTTGAAGGGCTGGATTCCTGCCAAGTGTTGCTCACTCACATTTTGAACGCTTGCAGCCACTTGGGTCTTGTTGAGGAAGGCCGGAAATTCTTTAGATTTATGGTTTCTGAGCGAGAACTATCTCCAACCAAGGAGCACTTTCGAGCGATGGTGGATATCCTGGGAAGAGCCGGGCAGCTCAAAGGTGCCGAGGAGATTATTGTCAACATGCCCTTTGTTCCTGACGTTGGTGACTGGGAATCGTTGTTGGGCTCTTGCAAGATGCATAGAGAAGTTGTCTTGGCAGCTCGAGCAGCAGAGATGGTGTCTCGGTTGGATCGGAAAAACACTACTAGTTACCTGTTAATGTCAAACTTAGTTACCTGCTAATGTTAAACTTGCCAAATGCTCAAAGAACTTACGTTGTTTTGAGCGTTTGTTCAAACCCGTTAATCGATAGTAAGTGTCGGTAAGTAGTATGTGTCGTTTAAACGTTGGAACTCTCTGGTGGTAATGGAGGATTATCCTCCAAGACTTTGTTGCGTGGGGATGATGGTTGCTGAGTTAGCTGCGAGTAAGTTCCCTGAGCTGTACGAGTACGAGTTAAGATCGGTCATGTTGGAAGGCAGGAGAGAACTTACAATCGGGAGCTCCAAAAACAGATGGAAAATGTTGCCCATAGCACAATGTAGCACTTGTCATTCCTGTTGTCAAAGAAAAAAAACTATTCAATGATCGTAACTTGTGTAAGCCAAGGTACCTATCAAAGCGGCAACGCACACGTCCTCCCAGTGGTGTTTGTAGTCTTCCAGGCGAGAAATGGAAACGTAGGCTGCGACGGCAAGCGGCGCAAATGGAATTAAAAACTTCCACATTTGTCCTTCTCGACGGTGATCAAACAGCTGAAGCTTTCCAGCAAAATAGAGAGACAGGTAGCCCAGTCCTGCGAAACACCCTGCCAGAGAAGTCAAATAAACTAGAATATACACAATAAAGAAGTCGCTTACACGAGGCATGGCCACTTGGAAAGCTTTTGTGTCCATCTCTGATCACAGCCTCGTCACCAGTGCAGAGAACTTCGCCAATTGCTGTATAGATCTGAATCGAGAAAACAATCACAAAGGTGTCATTGGAAAAGAAACTGCTACATACCTCGACTCCATCCGGAAAGCATCGCCAGAAGAAATCCGGTCGAGGCCGACCAACAGACACCTTGATCGCATTTGTCACAACACCAGCAATAGCGAGTGAGAAAGCCAGCCCTGGATCGTAGCATTGAGAAAACAAGTGTAAGAAGAGAGAGAAGAAAAACCAAGAAAAACTTACCCAGTAGAGCATGGTGAAGATCGCGAGGATCTCTTTTGTAAGCGTGGAAACATAGAAAAATGAGAGCAGGAACTGCCAGGGAGATCACCTGATCAAAAGAGACTACCAAAACTTCCATCACTACACCAAAGCGTTCGCAAGAGAAAAAAGTGCTTTACCGGAACGTAAACAAAGGAAACCGTGCTGGATTTCATGGGATATCGCAGATCGTCCAGCATGTACTTCCCCACAAATCTCTGGAAAGGATGGAGGACATGGAGCCCATAGAATGCCCCGCCAAGGAACACGACCACAATCCAGTCGAGAATGTGGCGCCTTGCAAGCTCCAAGAACGATGCTCTGCAAGAAATCCTCGGACTAGGAGTGTCCAAGAGCGGCATCTCTAGCCTCTGCATTTGCCCCGAACTGCAAGAAATTGCTGGAAATTCCAGGGACAATAGCTTCTCTCCCGAAGAACCCTAAATTGGAAGTCATCGACGGCCAAGTTACACGCTGGCACCAGTCAGCCTCGTCAGCTATGGCGATTAGGGTTTTAACGTCTCTCCTGCGCCATCGCTCGTCCGCCGCCGCCCTGGTAAGCTTCTCTCCGCAACATCTCGCCAAAATCTCTCCCGGAATCGCACGGCGCCGCCATTTTGTTGCGCTGCGCGGATCATCATCGATCGAGAGGGAACCTGGATCATTCTCGCGCTCCAGGTACTTCTACTCGACATTGAGCGAGAAGAATCACAACAAGGAGCTGGATGATATCAATTCCAAGTTCGCCGAGGCCAGGGAAGAGATTGAGCTGGCCTCGGAGTCGAAAGAGACGGTGTATTTCAACGAGGAGGCCGAGACCGCTAGAGTGGCGGTGCAGGCGGTGCTTGACAAGTACCAAGCGCTCCTCGCCAAATTGAGCCCGGAAGAAAAAGGTGGCGTCCAGAGAGCCATGGGGATGAAGATGGAGCAGCTCAAGGCCGAGCTTGCCCAGCTCAAGGAGTGAGACCCAAACAAAACAACAAGACAAGAGATTGCTGAGTACTCCGTTTCTTCTTTTTTTTGCATGGCTTTGTGCCTTCTGTCTCAATCTACTCAAAGGATAACAGTGGCTGTGGGATTAGATATTCATTCATTCGGATACTGTTTACTATGCCTGGCATGAGGTGCACCAGTAAGTGTTTATGGAGTAGTAAAATATTCATTCATTTTCGTATACGGTTTACAAAGTCTTGCCCAAATATTTAAAAACATCTATTTATCTATGTGCACTAGTACGTGTTCTGAGAATTAAATATTCATTCATTCATATACTGTTTACAAAGTCTTGCCCAAATAAGTGTTGCATTGAATCTGTTTATCTATGTGCACTAGTAGTAAGTGTTTTGAAGTGGCTGTCGAATTAGATATCCATTCATTCATATACTGTTTACAAAGTCTTGCCCAACTTGGGGTGTCTTGCACAAACTTTAAAAACATCTATCTATCTATTTGTTTATCTTGTAATGCGTCTACCTCTATAAAGCATGAGACCGAAATATTTCGAAATGCTGCACTTCTATAAAGTATGAGACCGAAATATTTAGAAATGCTGCACCAATAAGTGTTGCACCTTTGCTCGCCCCAATGGCATCTGCATCTTGAGCCACGTCTTCAGAGACTAAAGCGTCCATTGCCTGGTTGCCATTGTCAATCCTGGTCTCCAGTGCTCCTCACCTCATCTCCTTGGTCCGTGTTGCCCTTCCTCGGCGCCACCTGATATAAGCAAATCAGCTCTTTTATCTTACGCATACAAACAAGTTCGATTATAAATTGAGCTCCTTTTCACAGTCAGGTGGGAGGCCTTGCTTGACAGTGACGTGGCATGGCTTTGACTGCTACTTGGGTGGCTGGGATTTTGAGCCCGAATATCCCGTGAGTATGCCCATTTTGTTTATAAACAGGCTTTTGTGTCAAATGGTACCTCGACTGCTTCCTTGATTGGTATGTTTTGGCGGCTTCGCTGCTTTCTTGGGCTTGATGAATTCCCTGTGGTTTTTCTCTTTCCAGGCCTCTTGATCCATCGAAGCGATGAAGGCCTGGTACATGGACAGCTCTTGCGAGGATCAGAGGCTTCCTCACCATCTGGATCCTCCGCAATATGTGAGCGAGGAGCATCTCTCAGGTATGGCGGCAGAAATTCTTCTCCTCTTTTCTTGGTTGTGGTGATTGATCCGAAGGTCCTGCAGAATTGGGGGTTTTGCATTGGGTGATGAATGCCGACGAGTACGAGACGGATCCCCAGCTCAAGAAGCTCCGCGAGGAGCGTGGCTACGATTACGAAGTAGACATATTTTGCTATCTTTTCTTTTCTCTCTAAGTTCTATAATCTCTCTCCACGCGCAGGATTTCATCACTGTCAGCCCCGACAAGCTGCCGAATTACGAGCACAAAATCAAGACCTTCTACGAGGAGCACATCCACACTGACGAAGAAATTCGCTACTGTCTGGACGGAAGTGGTACTAGAATCGCGATTTCTCTTGAGAGCTTTACTTCTTTCATTCTTTCTTGTGGCAGGCTACTTTGATGTGCGAGACTCCGATGATCGCTGGATCCGGATCTGGGTCGAAAAGGGCGACATGATCGTCTTGCCTGCCGGTAGTTACCATCGCTTCACAAACGACGAGACAAACTACATCAAGGTTTTCTTTGATCTTCTTTTCACTTCCATTTGCTCAAAGTTTTTTTACTTGGTAGGCGATGAGGCTTTTCGTTGGAGCTCCCATTTGGACACCTTATAACCGACCTCAAGATGATCATCCCATCAGGTAGAATCTCTCTCTCTCTCTCTCTCTCTCTTTTCTTTTGTTCTTCCAGAGCTTCACTCTTCTCAAATCTACACTTTCAGGCAGCAATACGTCTCTGAAATTCGCAGGAAATCGTCAGGAGCAGGAATAGAGGCGCACTAGAAACCAGATTTGTTTGAGAGTTTAGAAGCACTTCACTCGCATGAGATAGCTAGCTAGCTATTCACAGTCCTGTCTAGCAAAATTTGTATCAAGTTACCTGGTTACCACTGACCGAGCGCTTGGCCCATTTTGATCCTCTGGCCCTTCTCGACTGTGAAGTTAAAGCCCTGGTAAGGATTGTCGAGGACCTTGAAAAGATCTTCCACTTCCCCTGGAGCCTCAAACACCATCACCACAGTTGATCCAAGGTTGAACGTGGCTACCTGAAACATAAAGAGGCTCTCAAGAGGATCTCCACAAAAATAATGACTTGCCTCGTCACCCTTTCTTATGCAGTAGCCACAGTTTTCTTTGATTGACGACTCTGCCTTGGTCGTGTTTGTCTTCAAATCTGGCTCGAACTTTAGCTGTTGTCAAGCAAAAGATTTAGTCAAGAGAAGCTATATAGAACTTGATACACACGAATCATATCTTACCTCAATCGAGCCACAGTTCGTTGCTCCGACTAAAGCCATGGACATGAGTCCCTCCTGCCATTCCCCTTCCAGCACAATCTGGACGAAAGAGACGTGATCAGACTCATATCTGCTGCACAGTACTGCAACTTACTCGCTCATTGACAACATAGAGATTCTTAATTGTCCTGGCGGCACGCGCATTGACAGGATACAGATCTCCTGGACAATTGGAAATGGAGAAAAGCACTTTAAAATGCACCCAGCTTGAAAGGCATTCAAACTTGTACCTGAGAAGTGACGCCGATTCTCTATGCACCAGTTGGAAGGAGAATGCACGCGGTGATAATCTCCAGGGCCCAGATACAAAACGCAATAGAAAAGTGCGCGAGGGGGCCTGGAAAGATAAAGGCATCCAAACATCACACAAAAAACGAAGGTACCTTACCTTACCTCACTTCCTTGGGCCGCTTGTCAGTGCCTGGTGAGCGCCAGAATGTAAATATACTTCGGGACGATTTCTTTTCTTCTGGTGCCGCTGCAGTCTTTATCGGATTCGGTTCAAAGCCAAGGAGAGCAGACAGCGAGTACGTAAATCCTTTCACTTGCTCTACCTTCGCTCCCGGTTGCGCAACACGGCCATACCTCGTGACTATGCCATCCACAGGGCTCAGCTGTGCATTATGAGAATTCAGCTATCAGCAGGAAAACAATAAGACAAGATAGACTTACCATACAGTTTTCTCGAGTGTCGATCGGCCGTGCTCCTGCTTTCAGTCCTCTGGCAAAAAACTCGCGAAGCGAGGAGTACTCCTCCAGAGACAGAGGTACCTCGTCCAGGTCTGAACAACACATTTAAGTTAAGTTTTTCGCAAGTCTTGTACATATACCTGTGTGAAACGCTCGAGCCCAGCCCTTGTACACATAAGGTCGTGACCACGTAGGCAAGTTCTAAGAGAAGAAAAAAATAAGAAACATAAACAATGCATGAAACCTGACTCACAATAGACGAGATCGATCCCCAGACACGAGAGATGAAGCGCAGTGGCAACAGTCGTAGAAACGAGGCCTGGAAAACAAGAAAGAAAATGTAGGAACCTTAGACCTTTCCAAAAACCCGGAAACTCTTCTAGTGTACCTTGGTGTCTGGGGAAAACTCTGGCTCGATTCCCTTTTGTATCGCAAGCTCCATCTAGAAACAAAGTAAACCATCCATCAGCATTGTCACATCACAGGCTACCATCGAAAAAAATCCACCTGTTTCTCCTCGTAAATTCTCTTTCCTTGCAGCACTGCGACCATCGCCAGTGTCGCGACTGTAGCGCCGGGAAGAAAAGACCTAGCTGCGCCATGCAAGAAAGAAGCATTCGGATGCGGAATAGGATCGATCGAGCTCTCACCTTTGCCCGCTGCTGATCCCGCTGGCTGCCGCTCCCGCACCACAGATTCTTCCTCGGCGGCCGCGGCAGCGGTGGCGCCGGATGCCGAAGAGCTGAATCGCGCGCGCGATCGCGCCCTCCATCGCAATATTTTGGAGAGGAGCGCCATGCAAGAAGAGCTTGCCCTACTCAGCTTCTACTAAAATTCCTTATATATTCTCTAGAAAATCTTTGGTTGGAGATTTCGTGGAGCTCAAGATACGTCCAGAAAGAACCCCAAGTAAACTCGATCGAGAGCTCCCAAAACTTTTTTACCGATCGATCGATCTTGCTAGAGTGGAGATTTTCACAGCAAAAAAACTATGGGATTTCAAGCTCGATTCCTTGTAGGGGGTTTAGGGTTTAAAGCTTGGTGTGATGCTGCGGAGACGCCTCTCTTCGCTCTTTCGACGGGCAAATGTGGCCTTTTTCTCGCAATCTTCGCCGGGCTCGGGTTTGATCGATCTGTGCCTCGGTTTGTGCAATGGATTTGATTTTCTTTTTCCTCGCAGGCTCGCTCGATGTTGCTGAAAATCTCAATAGCAGGTAAGCCGCGTTGGCATTTCATGTCTATCCATCGTGTTATAAGCTTCTTCCTCGTTGTTCTATCTCTTCTTGGCATCGTATGTAGTGTAATTCTAGAGAAGTTCTTGCCATTTTGCGTTAACACAAATCTTCGTTTTTCAAGCTTTGATTCTTTCTAGCCGAATGGTAGCATGATCTTTTTCTTTTTCTTTCTCTTTTCTAGGATCGTCATACCAAACAAGCAACGAAAGAGAGTCAAGCCAGGGGTGATCTCACGAGAGTTGGCTCTACCGAAAAACACAAAGAGGCCTATGTACGCGCGAGAAACTGTGCGAGGAACTCCAGAGCAGCCACTCGAGCCTCAGGTGCACGATGAGCACGACCGAAAATCCATGAGAACTTCGTGCCGGTTGGCTGCTCAGGTCTTGGAATACGCTGGAACTCTTGTCAAGGTAACATTCACCGCTAGATTTCTCTCAGAAAGAAAAAGGAAGTCTGATTGTTTTCCTTCAAAAGCCAGGGGTCACGACCGATTACATTGACAGGCAAGCTCACAAGTTGATCATGAACTCCGGAGCGTATCCCTCTCCGCTCAGATATGCGCGATTTCCAAAGAGCATTTGCACTTCAGTAAACGATGTTATATGTCATGGAATCCCGGATTCCCGTCCGTTGGAGGCAAGATCTCTTTTTCTCTTTCTGTTTTCTTCTTCGCAGATCAAGCTTCTCTTACTCCAGCTGCTGCTTTAGGATGGCGATATCATAAACATCGATGTCACGGTGTACAGAAGCGTAAGGTTTCCACTTCTAGTTTTTCCAGGATTGTTAGCTTTGATTGATTTCCTTGTTGCAGGGATTTCACGGCGACACATCGAAGACGTTTCTTTGTGGCAATGTCGACGACGAGCTCAAACAGCTGGTGGATGTAAGCTCTTTCCATTTTTACTTTTCCAAATCGATATTATTTGTGTTTCTTCTGATCTTTTCTAGGTAACTCGAGAGTGTTTAACCATGGCGATTTCTATCTGTGGCCCTGGAGTTGACTACAGACTCATTGGAGAAACAATCAAGTAAATAAAAGTGTTATCTTTGTTGCCTCACAGGATCTTTTTATTCTTCTTCCTAGTGAAATTGCCGATCGCTACAACTATGGCATCGTTCGAGACTTTCTCGGTCATGGTATTGGCAGATACTTCCATTCCGCTCCAGCGATCATACCTTACCGTAAGCGTTTTCTTCTTTCGCAGCTCCAAAGTTTCTTAAGTTTCATCCTTCCAGGCAATAGAATTCCTGGAAAAATGCAAGTGGGAGAAACATTCACTATAGGCAAGACAAGAAAGAAGGAAAAAAACTCTCTCGTTTAATAGCTCTCACGTCTATGCTCTGATCTCGCAGAACCCATTTTAACGACTGGAGGAACGGAGTATCAGATTTGGAACGATGGTTGGACGGCAGTAACTAAGGATGGTAGCTATGCAGCACAGTTTGAGCACACTGTGCTCATCCTAGAAACTGGTGTAGAGATTCTAACACTGCCTCTCTGAGACTTGTTTTCCATAGAATTTGAATTCTTAACATTAGCATTTGGCCAAAACTACAAACTTTTAAACTTCTTTTTTAATATCTATTTTATTACTAAAAGGGAGTTTTATATAACTTTAGGATACATTTTTTAACTGCTTTTATGACTTAAATTAGGTTACTACTTTAACAATAATCACTAAAACAATGTAGCCTTATAAGAAAATGCTGAATTTAATTTTAATCTATATCCAAACATGGTTAAATATGTTAAAACTTTAGAGATGATGTTTTTGGTTTGCATAAGCAAACTTGTAAACGGACTGGGATGGTAGTGAATATACCAAGAATATGTTTGAATATTTTAGGATATTCTACCATCTAATGGTTGTTAATTTTGTATTTATAATTTTAAACATGTTTATAATGTATAAACTTTCTTAAACCCTATCTAGTATATTCTTTTTTATTACATCATCTATATATTCAATAAGATTAATCTTGTATTTATCAATTACAAACATTCTTATAATTGTTAACTTTATTCGATCAATTGGATTAAAAAATAAGAATAACACTACTATTAAACAAACAAAACATTGCTACATGCAATGCATAGCAAATTTTTATATAAATTTAGTTATTTAATTAATTAATTTTACAAATAATAAAGAGAATAATGCCTTAGAATTATTTTGTTATTATTGAGTATAAAGAAAAAATAAGGTAAAACGTTTTTCCTCTTTTATGACTTTTAAAAACAATAAGTGCCAATATTTTTCTACTTCTTTACTAATATTTAAATGATATTAATACATTTATATTACAATGTTAAATTTAAATGACTATTAACAAATTCATAAACTATAATTACATTTATAATTAAAGTGCACTCTTCAAAAGTAAATAAAAGTATTGAAATTTATAAATAAAATTATACGTTTCATAAATTTAATAAAAAATAGTTTCTAATTTTTAAAATTTAATTTCAGCATCGTCATTACCCTTGTGAAATATTTTTTGAAATTCTATTTTTTATCTAAAATATATATAATATTAATAATGCTAAAAGTTTTACAAATTGTTTCTTTAAGATGTTTACAGCAAAGTATGTTATTAATATTTTTATTATTATTATTACATTAATTTTTATTAAAGTGTTTATATATATACTATCCAAATTAAAATTATAATATTTTTCTTAAAGAATGTATAACTAATTGAAATAACTGTTATAAATTGTATTAATATCAATTAAATGATCTTTCCTTGTAAACCTTTCTTATACAGATGGTGTTTGTTATGAGTTTAGCATTATAGAGAGAGCCTTTTTAATAAATAATATATAATTGATGACGGATTAGTTTATCACAAAGTATTTTTTCTTGTATTTATATGTAAAATAATTTTTTTTTCTTTTGTTGTAATAAATGCAAAAGTTTTCTTTTTGGTTTTTTTTACCCATAAATGCAACCTTTCCCCCTTATCTAAAGGGCGTGCGTTTAAAGAATGTGCAACAAATATATTAACGAATGAAATTAAATATCTGATTTCTACCAAATAGTGTCAAATCAGAATTCACTAATGCAACCAAAAACATGTTTTGAGTCACTCTTGGACAGTAAATGTTTTTTTTGTTTTTGTTTTTTAGTTTTAATCTTTTCTTTTTCAAGAATGCTATCTTAAATAACATCCCAACTATAATCAACTGTCATCATCTCTCTTTTACTGCCTTTCAAATGAGTTCAAATTACATTTAGTTTTCGTTTTCTTAATACTCACCATTATAGTGAATTAATTAAATTTTCTATTCATAACAAAATTATTTATCTCAAGAAAGTATTTTTAAAACAATCATGAATAATAAACTTATTTTAGATAATGTTTTAATTTTTTTGTCCCTTATGAGAAAATAAAATCTTTAATAACCTTTATTGAAAATTAAAACTACACACTTATTAATCTTTGTTTTAAATTGAGGATTTGAAAAAAAACATTGTAATCATGAAAGAAAAATAATAAAATCACAAAATGTTTAAAATATAAAAATCAGGCTTACCAAATTTTTAAAAAATGTTTAATAAAAATTTGAAATATTTTAAAATTATATATACATTTACATATCTTTTTAATACTTTACAACCGCGCAGAGGAGGGATCCAGCCGTGCGATTGGATCGTATCGGACGGTTCCGCGACTAGAAAACGCCATTATCGCCAATCTCGCCATGGGAGTGACCAAGGAGGGCGTGGAGGAAACGCTCAAGGCCAAGCTCACCCCGACCCATCTGGTAAGCCCAAGTTCTTACTAGTTCTCGCCTCCTGATCCTCGCGGCTGGTTCTCACTTTTCAATTTCTCGCGATTTTCCTTCCAGGTCGTCATCGATACATCCGGAGGGTAAGCGCGCGGCGATGATCTGTGAGAGAATTCTCTGGCCTTCCCTAATGTTTCTCTTGGATTGTAGATGTGGGGCTAGCTTCGACATCGAGATCGCGTCTTCGAATTTCGAGGGCAAGAGGCTGCTGGAGCGCCATCGCCTAGTGAACGCGGCGCTGGCTGAGGAGCTCAAAGACATCCACGCCCTCTCCATCCGCAAGGCCTTGACGCCCAAGCAATGGGAAGAACAGCACCCAGCGCCTGAGAATCTGGCCACGGCGTGAGCGCTCTTCTATGAATTACTTTCTTTCTTTTCAGCACAAAAAACCCCCGCGAAGAATTCGCTCGCTTTAAAGAATCTCATCTACCATATATTTTAGGGTTTTCTGTGCGAGAGCGATGGCGGCCTCGCGGCGTGGCCAGAAGAGGAAGCGATCGGGCAATTCGCGAGGTATAGCTTCCTCCCAGTTCTCCTCTCGCGATGAAGGCGCCGATTACAAGCACTGCGGGTTCCTCCTCACCGCCGTGGAATCCGATCCTCTCCTCCATGATCAGAGCAGCATTCCCCCGGATTGCTGCTCCAACAGCGGTGAAGATTTCGGCGAGCTAGTCCAGTGCCGCGATGGCGTCCAGGAGGCGCCAGACGAATGTAGGTTTTCCAGCCTCGTGGGAGCCGAGTGTGAATTAACTGGCCAGGGCGCCAACGCTACCATTGCGATTGACGCCTTTCACGCGATTCCAGCCGCAATCGCGGAAGAATCCGTGCTGATCGATCCCGCCACTCCGGATTCCACGTCGCGGAGCTCGGAAAAGTGTCGCAGCAGCTCAGGGAAGCGGCGGGGCAGCTCTAGCGTCACGATTCCAAGCATTGTCTCGCAGCTCCAGAGAGTGGCTTCCATGAACGGCTTGAAATTCCGGGGCCGCGTTGTCAAGGTTGTCCAGAAAGGGGCCGTGGTTCGTGCGGTGGTACTCATCGATGTGTTCTTTCCTTTGCGGCATTTTATCACGCTTAGCAGCTGGAAGGGTGGCAGTGCCAGTGCTTTCGCCATGGGCCACTTGAGGTAAGCATAGGTCTTGGTGTTTCTTAGCATCGTTCTTAGCTCTAAGAAGTTTTATAGTTTTGGCGATCCATTCTAAAAGAAAAAACTTTACGTTTTTCTTGCAGCTGCGATTGGAGCCGGAGGAAAGAGCTTGAAGCTTCAAGTTCTTCGATCGATGACCGAGACGTGTGGAACCTTTCGGAATGCCATGTTGTTGGCTGCTCTCTACACTCCAGTGTGTCCACTTCCGTCAAGAACACGAGGTTTAGTCTTCACGAGATTTTTAACTCGCTCTCGGCCGGCGATGCAGGCAGGAGATTCGTAGGCACCAGCTTAGTCTGTGCTGGTGATGAAGATCGTCGGTGCAGTGGCTTGTGGGATCTCCCCGACGAGATCCTCACGTCCGTCTTTAGCAGGCTCCTTCCCAGGGATTTACTGAGCATTGCAGCGGTTTGCCGGCACACCCGCGAACTGACGAGGTTTATCGTCCCTTGTATGAACCTTCGACTGTTTCCACACCAGAATGCGGCGGTCCAGTGGATGCTCCACCGCGAGACGAATCCACAACGTTTCAGGAACCCGATACATAAGGATTTACAGACGGAAGATGGATTCCACCTCTTTTTGAACAGCGTTACCGGGGAGATTTCTATCGAGATGCCGGAGCTCAGCGACTTCCGTGGGGGCCTGTTTTGCGACGAGCCGGGACTGGGAAAAACCATCACAGCTTTGTCACTTGTACTGAAGAGCCAGGGGATCTTTCCATCTCCTCCACCGGGTGCTGAAGTTTGCTGGTCTTCTAGTCTGTCGGGCGAGAAGATCGGATACTACGAAGCAACCTCAGGGACGCAGAGAATGTCGTTACTGAAGCGATGCATGGCTATGAAGGGACGTAGATATCAGCTCGGAGCGGAAACTCCAAGCGAGTTTGGCAAGCGGAAGGCAGCGGCTGACGACTCTATACTAGAGCCTTTGCGCATCAGGAGGAAGCTTTTGGACAGCTATGGTGACGGTAGCGAAGAAGCTGGTGTTGCGGATATCGGGGCAGCAGCAGCAGCATCACAGCAGCCAGAAGTAGCTGATGATGTGTGGGTGCAATGCGACGGCTGTAAGAAATGGCGTAAACTGGCACACGGTTGTGGCTCTCCTCAGGATGGTTCGGCCTGGTTTTGTAAGATGAACAGGAACCCTCAGTATCAGAGCTGCTCAGCGCCGGAAGAATCATGGGACGGGAAAGACAGTATTTCTCACTTGGAAGGCTTTCACAGGAAAGGCAGCGAGGCTGGCCTGGAGCGGAACGTGTCGTTTTTCTTTTCGATCCTGAAGGACCGTGCGGCGTTACTGAACTCCGAGGCCAAGAAGGCATTGAACTGGCTAGCAGATTTGCGTTCTTTGGAGCTTACAAAGATGGCAAGCTCGGGTATCCCAGTTCCGCAGCACTTGAGAATGGTCTCGGTCACAGGACGGACGGAGCACGAGTACGAAGAGTTCTTCCTGGCCTTCGGCCTCGTCCCAAAGCAGGACAAGAAGAAGGTGCCGAAATGGCAGTATCCGGAGGGACTCACGGGCTTTCACCTCGACACGTTAGCTCTCAAGTGTGCTCTATCAAAGCCCGTGGAAGAAGTCACTCGGGTATACCTCTCAAAGGCAACCTTGATCGTGGTTCCGTCAAACTTGGTGGAGCACTGGAAGACTCAGATACAGAGGCACACGAGTGACAAGCAGCTGCGAGTTTATGCCTGCCTCGACTCGAAAAACGCTCCTACGTCGCACAGCCTTGCGTGGGATTACGACATTGTCATCACGACGTTCAACCGGCTCAGCATTGAATGGAACAGCAGGGAGAGCAGCCTGCTGATGCAAATACACTGGTTTCGGATTATTCTGGACGAGGGGCATACGCTCGGAGCTAGTTTCTCACTCACCAACAAGCTTCAGATGGCCGTCAATATGCGGGCTTCATGTCGGTGGGTTCTCACAGGAACTCCTACACCGGATACTCCATACAGTCAGCTCGTCAACCTTCATCCTATGCTGAGGTTCCTCCATGACGAGCTCTATGGTAGCCAGATCAAGCTTTGGGATGCTGCAGTTTTGCGTCCCTTTGAAGCACACTTGGAGGAAGGCAGGCTCCGTCTGGTGGACTTCCTCCGGAGGTGTATGATCAGTGCAAGGAAGGCCGACTTAAGCTCCATTCCTCCGTGCGTCCGGAAGGTCAAGCTGGTGGAATTTACAGACAACCATGCTGCCAGCTACAACGAGCTCGTGGAGACGGTCCGGAGAAATCTTCTCATGGCAGACTGGAATGATCCCGACCACGTCGAGTCTCTCTTGAATCCGAAGCAGTGGAAGCTCAAGAATACTACGTTGAGAAACGTCCGGCTGTCTTGCTGCGTTGCGGGCCACATCAAAGTCCGGAATGCTAATCAAGATATCCAAGAAACGATGGAGATGCTTGTTCAGGACGGCATGGATCCAACCTCGGACCAGTATGGATTCATAAAGGGCTCTCTTCTGCTTGGAGGAAACTGCTTCAGGTACTAAAGTTTTATCTTTTTCCTTTTAACTGATTCCATTACTTCGTTTGCAGGTGTGGAGAATGGTGTAGACTTCCGATCTTAACACCTTGTCTTCACTTCTTGTGCTTGTCGTGCGTATCGTTGGATTGTGAACGGTGCATTTTACCGGAATGTGGAAAACCGTACCAAATGCAGACACCGAAAGCTCGTCCAGAGAATCCAAATCCGAAATGGCCAGTTCCACAAGATCTTATCGAGCTACAACCATCCTATATCCAAGTAAGCGAATGGTCACTCAAAGGTAGCTGGCTCACGGTTTTTGGTTGTGCAGGAAGACTGGCATTCTGAATGGCAAGCAACGTCAAGCAGTAAAGTCTCTTATCTTGTTGAAAGGCTGAGAGGCCTGCAACAGGAAAACGGGAAACTGCCTGAAAAGGCCATCGTGTTTTCCCAGTTTTTGGAGCATATAAGTGCAATTGAAATGCAGGTAAAGAGCTGTCGCGAGTTTGGCTTACGATCTTACTTTCGTGTTCTTCGCAGCTCACCAAAGGAGGGATAGAGCATGCAGGAATGTACAGTCCCATGCCTGCTGCAAGCAAGGTAGAAAGCCTTTCTTTTTCTCACGTTTGCTTATTGTGAAGCTGGATGCTATCAGATGAAATCCTTGAGAACGTTCCAAGAGAACCCCAAATGCGTCGTCCTTTTGATGGATAGCAGCTCTGCTCTTGGACTGGACTTAAGTTTCGTCACCCATGTTTTTCTCATGGAACCCATATGGGATCGCAGGTTCTTTCAATCAGCCTTTAGTAGGATTCATTCTTTTTGCTTTTATGTTCTAAAGTTTTGAGTGCCTGGCAGTATCGAGGAACAAGTTGTGAGCCGTGCTCATCGAATGGGAGCCACTCGGCCAGTGCTTGTGGAAACCTTGGCAATGGCTGGGACGATCGAGGAGCAAATGCTGGGCTTCTTACAGGCATGCTACGTGAAAGCTCTCGAGGATTTGCTTGTGCTAATTGTACTCGTTTGTTTCAGCGCTGCTCGGATCCAAGTCGAGGGCACCATGATCCTGCGGAGCTGCAATATCTCACCCGTTTAGCTTTCGTCAGGAAACATGGCAGCCACTAACGCATAGGAAAATTGATTTTTATTACACCATTTCTTTGTCCACAACTGAGGATAAAAAATATAAATAAAATATTTAACGTTTAAATGGCCACAAAAGGGCTCATCATTGGATTTATCGCATCTCCCATTTTTTCAGGGATGTAAATAAAATATTCTTGTATTGTCCAACTATTGTATAATCTCCCATTATTAAGAAACAGAAGATGGAATCATCAATAGATAAAATAAGGGAGCATTTCTAAAATACCCTTAAAATGTGTTTCTTTTCTATAAAGGACAAAGTGAATATTATTTTAAAATATTGGTTTTATTATTTCACAGGTTGGTCTGTTAACCTTAAAAAATAATTTTTACTCTTAAGAAGGGTCTTATTTTCTTTCAGTTGTACAACATTGTTTTCTTGGGACCACACAATATACATAGAGCATTCTTTATATTCATTTGATACATTAGTTAAGCTGACTATGCAAAAACAGTTGCAACCTTTTTTTATATAATTCTAAAAATAATCCATTTTTTAATCTAAATGGCTAATTCACAACAATTTTCTAGCTAATTACTAATTACATGGCTATAATTGTATTAGCCCCATAATTTTATCAGTCAAAACAGATTATAACATTGAAATTCCATCTTCTCCTAGAGGTTCTTTAAATTCATACTAGAAATACCAGCAAATGCTAAGATGCATATCAATATACAAATATGAGTTACAAAGGTCATTAAAAAGACCTCTTTGTATATTATAGAGATCTTGTATAAGCTGTATACTTTAATGTAAAACTAAAAAGAGTCTGGAAACACGAGATGTCCTTGGGGTATGGTGTTTTGAATTTTATTTTCTATCTTGAATGGGATTTCTATGTTTAATAGCTTAAGTGTGATGCGTGGGTTGTAAGGTCTTCTCTCCTTTGATTGGCCACAACACAATCTAACAATCTAAAACTATTGATAAAGCATTTTTTAGAATAACGTGTCATAGTGATATATTCCTTAAGAGAATAAGAATTACAACATTTTTAGGTAAGAGTTTGTATGGTGGAAGACTAGAAGGTGTAATAGAATTAAAAAATTCAACTAAATTTTTTTCTGGATGTTCAATATCAACATAATCACACCATAAGTGCATATATCACTTTGCAATTAAGAGACTACAATATCATTGATTGGGATATATCAATTAAGTGGGGCAAATATTACTTTGTTAACTGCACTATAAGGATTTGAAATATGAAGCAATGATGGGTAAAAAAAATGATAATAGAGGCTATATAATAAGACTGTAAAGTTGGTAAATTAAATAGTTATTACCACCAATTTAAAGCACCAAATGATTTATTTTCAGTAAGTCTTATATTTATTTTAAAGTTAGTTTTCTTAAATTTTGGTATAATCTAATTAGTTTTACAAAATATAAAATAAATTTATACTTTAACAATTAGTAGTGTTTGTCCAAAGTCTCCCTCTAAAAGGTAATTTAGAATTTTAAAGATAGTTTAATATTTGATCAATAGCAAAAAAAAATGTATAGATCTTGTAAATATGATAATTTTATTCCTTTTAATTATACATGATACTATGGTTTTCATTATAAAATGATTATATTTTGTTAATAGTTTAACATTTGTTAAACAAATTTTAATTTAACATGTTGCCATATGGTAATTTTATAATCCATCTTGGTCATTGGAATTTAAATCAATTTTTACTGACACAAATCTATAGATATTTAACTATTATTTAAAGTAATTTCGTAATTTAATTGTATTAACTTTGGCAATATATACCACAGCTTTCGTTTGAAATAAATACATGTAGATACAGAATGATTATTCAGTGAATGAACAGGCTATAAATTTTTACACCCTCTGTTCTTTTCCCACTCTTTGGTTGGATGATAATTTAACAAGCGGAGTTCTTCTTCGGCCCTTGCAAGCTTCGTTCTATTGCTGTTCTGTACAGTGAAAAGCTCGAGGAATGTCAAAAGCCAGTCTCTACACATGAAAACTTACAAGATTCCTTTGCAGCCTCTGCATTTGTTCCCTGCAAACTTTAACCTCCATTTCGAGATTGTGCCTGTGACTGTCTGGATCCACCAATTGCTGCTGCTGTATCACTTGCTGGTGTCGAGTTCTTACCGCTTGCGGTTGCCAGATTTGAAGAGCAGTCGAGGCTTGCCTGCACTGACATAAGTGGTCTTTCTTTCTCAATCCAAAGCCATTACCTTGCATTGTCTGCTCTGATTAGTTCTCTACTTGCTAATGCCACTCTCCTCTTCTCAAGCACAAAATCTCGTGCCAAAGTCTTGTACTCCCTCTGGAGCAGCAAGATCTGGCTCTGGATCCTCAGCATACGCCGGTTATAATCGTTCTGTCTGGAGAGTTTGATCCTTCCATACCTGGAGAAGAAAAAATGAAAATTTTCTCAAGAGCTAGGCTAGGAGAAGCTCACCTTGTTGCAAATCGCCTCTTCCACGCCACCGCTGTCTCTCCTTCTGTCATGCTACTGCTGCTGCCCAGCTCCTGGTCCCAAAGCAGCCTCCAAATGCAATCCAATTCACTCACGCGTCGCAGCGCCCGGCACGCCATCGAGATCAAACACACATCCCTGTAATCCAGCCGCGATCGCTCCACGGCGCCAAGGATCACTCGCTGCCAGAGCTCGTCTGGAAGATCCATAATCGAAGAGCCCTAACATTTCAAAGGGTTAAAAAAGTGCCAAGGGGAAAAAGATCTTTAGGGTTTAAAGAAAATTAACGCGGAATTTTCTTAGGGTTTTGGGATATTGGAGGGTGGTGGAGCAGCGATTATTTTGTGCGGAATTCAAGGAAGAGTGGCTGACGTCCAATCCACCTACAGGGCGGGCAAAGAAGGATCTTGAGGAGGAGCTGGAAATTGCTGGCAATCTCAAGGTTGCTGTTCAGACTGGGGAGAGCACTTACCGCTTTCGAACCAACACAGTCGGGCAGCCTGACCTGTTTGTCAAGGGCGCAATAGATCGGCCTCTCATCGTTGGAATTGTCGACTTCCATCATGCTGTAGAAGAAGCTGTAAGGTCTGGCTTGGGTTTCCTTGTTCGTGAACTCATCCATGTTACAGGAGGCTTTTTACGTACATGATGATCACCGGTGCTTGTTTTGGTGTGGTCGTGGATGCTGGATCCATCCAGTATGCCAAGATGAGTCAAAGAGACACGCTCCAACTTTACCTGTTCGCTCCGGTCGGCACTCGGTTTTCTGCTTCAGCTGGCAAGAGACGAACCTGAACCTCCACAGCAGTCGATTGGTGATTACGCGCTAAGCTTATCCAAGCTCACGCCCAGGGATTCTCGAGTGGTGGAAAGCTTCAAGTCCAGCACAGGTCATGTCATTCAATCGTTCAAGACATGGTGAATCTCAGCTTTGAAGACTTGGAGGATGTCTCTTGCAAGTGGCAGAGAGACGCTAAGTCATCTGTCGTCTCCGCCAAGTACAAGCAGCAGCCGGTGGTTCTCAAGGTGCGGGACTTGACTACTCCCTGGCTTCTGGGCGTGGAGACGTACCTCCTTAAGAGGTGGACGCGTACAAGACGCTCCACACACTGCAGGCACGCTCCACGCCTAGTCTCGTGGGACTTCTTGTGTGGGACAATGTTCGCCTGAGACCCCTGGCGTGAATCCTGGCAAGAGCCTCATAGGCAGGAGCAAGTGCTGCTTGTATGTCTCGCACGCTAAACATCAAGTAGCTACTCAGAGGCCAACCTTCGTCGCTGGACGGGGACTTGACGCCTCTCAAGATCCTCCTCAGAAGAGGAAGCAGCAGCAGCCAGTTTCTTGGGTTAAGATCATTGGCTTCTCCTCTGCTTCCTACGTCCATGTTGCTGAAGGGGGGAGATGGCTAAGCTTCATCAATGTTTCGAGGAGGTCTTCGAGTTCGTTCAGGCGGGAGGAGGGCATGGCAGTGGATCGCTTCCGCCTTTCTTTGCAGAAAAGCTCGTCGATTGTCCACAATTTCCCAAGATTCGAGATCTTCTCAACGCGTACGTGAATGTTCCAATCGTAGGTACATGTGTGCTTGGTTTTCAGGTTGGGTGTCAACCTGCAAGGAGATGACGACGAGTCGTTATCCAAGACGGAGCATCTGAAGCGTCTGATTTGTAAGCTCACGTCTCTCCTGCCGTGTTCATGCTTTTTGATCCGTGTTTTCAGGTTGTCTCACGACTTCAAAGAGTACACATGCTGCTCGATGCGTTGACGGCTCTGGTCGACAACCCGAAACTCCTTGAAGAGGAGCTTCGCTTCGATGGGCTCATGAGGTTCCTCGCAGATGAAGAAAAGAAACATATGAAAGGCGGCAGCGTACTTGCATAATGCATGATCCAGTCTAGCAAAAGCGCGTATCAATCAAGTTCCTCACTGTTCTAACAGATGTTTTTTTATTCTTCACCTTTTGTTGTTTGCAATGGCCACCGCTGCTGCTGGCGCTGCTGCTACCACGCCCACCTGCGGCTGCACTGCGGGGTGTGCTTGTGGGAATCCATGCCCATAGATCTTGATTGATCGACAAATCCTTGGATCACGGATGTGCAGCAATGGGTGCTGCTGGACGAAGGTTGTTTTCCTATCGATTAAATGCTGGTTTGGCAACTCCTTTGATCCTGTGCTAGTGGCCACGACGGAGTTTTCTGCGAATGCGGTGAGAACTGCAAGTGTGAGACATGCACCTGTGGCCTCAGGCGAGCCCTTCTGCAAGTGCGGCCGGACGTGCAGTTGCGAGACTTTGCTCTTGCCCCAAGCCAGTGCAAGGTTGATGGACTCAAGAGAGATTTTTTTGCAATTTTTTGCCGAACAATATTTTGCAAGTTTTGCTTTGAGAAATAAATCCTTGACCATAGTTTTATAATTTCAATGCTTTAGATCCTCGATCTTTTGATGAAGAACTGGAACAACGCTCGCTTGTTGTCATCCAGCTTTCTATACTTCTAAAATCTCTTCCAACGAGGAGATCTTCCATTACCATCATCACGTCCGAAAATCAAAACTCTCCAAAACTGAAAAAGAGAGACATTTTCTCTTCTCTATGGCCTGTGACTATTGGCAAAGAAACGGCAAAGAAGCTGGTCCGGAGTGCTCACCAAGAGGAAGCCATGTTTTCTTGTGAGGCTAAGCGTTTTTTAAAAATCACTCCATAGTAACATTGTGTGTCCTTTTATCCTTAACGTTTGGAACCAAGTTTTTTTCATTCCAGCAATCCATAAACCAACACTTTTGATTCCTCCTCCCAAGGTATTTCCACTTCTATTGTTCGTTGCCTATGTGGTCGGCCACTGGGCAGTCTATCTGGACGTTGTTTCGGGCCTGGATATGGAATTGACTCCTCCCATCCCTCCATTCCTGGAACTATCCACAACTCATTTTCCTGTCGACTATCCAAGTATTGGAAGATTTCAGGCTCCATGCCTGGAAATAGCAATTTGTTGACATCTTCCCAAATGTAAGGATGCTCCTTTGGGTGTTGATCAACTCTGTAGATACTAAATCTCACCTCCTCCACCTTGTCAAACACGCCTGCCAGCCACAAAATCCTCAAAGAGCACAACATTTGCAAGGTGTCTTCATCCATGCCAGTCTCCCAGCGCTGGATTTCAAAGTTGTAGCCCTTCCAGTTGGTCTCCATGGTGATGGCAAGAGCGCGTTCGTTTTTGTGGTAGTGTATCCGTCCCCACAGTGCTACAAACTTTTCAACTATCAAATCTTGAGCTTCAGCCGGGAGGCTTGAGAGATGCTCAATAAACATTTTTTCGCTCTCCATTGAAATTAATAAAACCTAAACCTTTTGAGCATTTAAATAGCGTAAAGGCTTAGCAAAAGGTGACATAACTAATATCCCTTTTTACATTGTTAAGTAAGTAAGCTAATGTTTGATTTTTGTAGTAATAATATACATGCGATGGAAGAAGACATCGATCCCAATTTCAAAATTTGTTGCTCGGAGCCATAAGGCTTCAGGAACTTCCCTCCACTGTGCAGCCTCAGCATCATTAGGTGACACGTACAAGTTTATGCCAAAGAAGTCATTTCAGAGCCAAGTTAAAAGATGTTCCAAAAACTGCATTTCAAACAAGGATGGGTTACTACAAGTTTTTAGTGAGGCCATTTAATTTGACAAAACCTCTTGAGCTTGGGTTCCAGAAGGAACCAGACGTGGCATGGAACGATCTGGTTGAGGATCATGATGGAGCCCATGAGAGATCCGGATGTGATACCATCGCCATCTTGCTCGGCTGCTGCTGCAAGAATGAGAGTAACGCGTCGCTCTTATTTTGGTGTTGGCGTGAAGATGAAGCCACAACGAAGCTAGCTCCCGCGTATTTTCTTGTAGAGAAAATCTCGTGACTGCGACGCTCACGACGCTCAAAGAACTGTGTCATCCAAGGGGTGGGAGACGGAGCTCTCGATCCCCGAGTACGTCCGCAACAACACCCAAACAGGATCCACTAGCAAGCCGAATCGCAACCTCACCAGGGGCGAGCCATTAGAGGACAAGTGCAAAGGCGTCACATTCTCCTGGGTCTTCAACGTCATGGAGCCCTCCACCAGTGGACGCTTCAGCTATTTCGATCGAAGCGGAGGAACACACCGAGAGTACGTTGTCCAACCAAGTTCACAGGAGGCACAAGTATATACTCTTGCCGGAGTACATGAGGGAAGTCATCAAGCTCGGCGAGAGTTTGAAGCGACAGAACCAAGACCGGCAGCTCTACACCAACATAACTCGGACGACTGGGGTTACATGGACGCCACGAGCCTGGCGCTGGATCCCGAGCTCAAAAACAAGATCATCTAGGACCTGGAGTCGTTCATGGCTAGCAAGAAGTTCTTTAGCAGGGTAGGGAGAGCTTGGAAGCGTATCTCTTGTATGGGCCTCCGGGGACGGGGAAGTCGTCACTCATCGCGGCCATAGCGAACTACACGCAGTACGATGACTACGATATGGAGCTGACTGAGGTAAAGAGAAATGCCCGACTTGAGGAAGCTGCTCATGGGGATTTCCAACAAGGCGATCATCGTGATCGAGGACATCGACTGCTCTCTGGAGCTCAAGAAGAGGGGGAAGCCAGCGCCATAGGAAGAAACCAAGAAGAGAGATAGAGAGCCCGAGAAAAAAGTTAAGAAAAGAGCAGCAGGTCATCCCCGACAGAAAGTGATTGAGGCACTGCAGGATCGAAAGGAGCAGGCTGCAAAGAAAGAGGGAGAAAGAGGAAAGAAGTATAACACAATTGCTGTCCTTTTCTTACTATGCATCACTACAAAGATAAAAAAAACGCACTTAGATCCGAAAAGAGCGATAGTCTGCTGCGACACAAAAGCCGCAAGGTCGCTTGTTGGCATTTTTGAGAGCTCAAAAATCAATGCAAGTGTGGTCAGATAAGTCTTAAGAGCCCTAACATTTCAAAAGGTTAAAAGTGAAAAAGGTTTTAGGGTTTAAAGACACCACCATGGCTGTGGAGGATTACGCTGCTAGTCTCGACTCGATCCAGGCAGCTAGGAATCGCATCCAGGGCCAAATCCGCGTGACTCAGGTGATTACGTCGTCGTCGCTCGATGCGCTCGCCGGGAGGAGCTTGTTCTTCAAATGCGAGCTATTCCAACGCGGGTAAAATCCTTTCTTTCGCTTTTCCAGTGTAGAGTTCTCCTCTTGGTTCTTCCTCCAGTGGCGCATTTAAGATCAGAGGCGCCTCCAATGCGATCTTCTCTCTCTCGGACGATCAAGCCGAGAGAGGAGTCGTGACGCACAGCAGGTAAGAAGATCGAGCTTCCATTCCTTGTCGATGTTCTTTTAGTTTTTGTTCTTGAGTGTTTCTAGATCGTTGCAGTGGCAACCACGCGGCGGCGCTTGCTCTTGCGGCCAAGCTACGAGGAATTCCAGCGCACATCGTCGTGCCTCGAAATGCTCCAAAGTGTAAAGTCGAGAATGTGGAGCGCTATGGAGGGAAGATCTCGTGGTGCGATCCAAGCGTTGAGTCGAGAGAGGCCGTGTGTGCCTCCGTGAAGAGCAAAACCAATGCGGTTCTCGTCCATCCTTTCAACGATCCACAAGTTATCAGGTGTGAGTTTGACAATCTTCTTTCTCGCTGATGTTCTTGGAGTTTTCTTTTCCAGTGGTCAAGGCACTGTTGCTCTCGAGTTTCTTGAGCAAGTTCCGCAGCTCGATGTGATCATCGCTCCGATAAGTGGTAATGAACCTTGTTTTTTCTTCTTTGAGCCAGCTTAAATTTTCCATCTTTCGTTTGAAGGTGGTGGCTTGATATCTGGTATTTCCATCGCTGCAAAAGCGATCAAGCCCGAGATTAAAATTATCGCCGCCGAGCCAACCGGTGCTGATGATGCCGCGCGTTCCAAAGCAGCCAATTCAGTGCAGACGAACAAACAGACTTGCACCATAGCAGATGGACTGCGAGCATCGCTTGGATCTCTCACTTGGTATTTCAGTTACGTGATATCTTTCCAGGTCTAAAAATGCTTCCTTTAGGCCCATCGTTCGTGATTTTGTGGATGAAGTCGTGACCGTCGACGACTCCGCAATCATCGAAGCAATGAAGATGTGCTACGAGAGGCTCAAAGTTGTAGTGGAGCCGAGCGGGGCCATCGGTCTAGCGGTGGTTTTGTCTGATAAGTTCCGCTCGAATCCGGCTGTCAAGCATTGCACCAACGTTGGGATCGTTCTTTCCGGTGGGAACTGTGATCTCACAGGACTTTGGGAGTCCCTTCCCAACTAGACCAAGTTCTCTATTCCAATGTAAGGCTTTTCAATGTTTTCTTTTCATTCCTGACGTGTTCCTCTTTCTCTTCCACTTTAAGTATGGCGTTGCGTTGAATCTTGGGCAACCAGGAATAGGAAGAGTACAAGTCACGTATGACAACGATGAATTGGTAAGCACTCAGTGGTGTTTTCTGTCTGAAACTCTTTTACCCCACCTAACTTAGCTTTCGTGCTGTGACTTCAGAATTTCCATCATGTCATCCACGACCTTGCGTATTTGCTCGCGCGAGTGCAGCGGAGCAGGATAAACAACATTGCAGTGGAGGCAGCCGTCCCGGATGGAATCAAACAGTGCAAGCGAGGGTCCAACTCCGTGCACGGAAGCACAGCCGACGTAGTCCTCCAGACCAAGCGTGTGTTTCGTCTCCTCCTCCGACTCGTCAGCTATGACATCCTGGAAGACAACCATGAGAGACGTCCTCAAGGTCCCGGAAGGCGTGAGGTTCGGGTGCTGCAAGGCCTGGAACATGAGATAGTTGATATCTCCCATGTCGGTGAAGTGCTTGCGGTTCTTTATGGCGTTGGAAAAAGAGTCGGAGCATCGCCTAGACAGGTCCCAGAAGCCCGTGTCTTGGTTCACGTGATGCGTGTTCAAGATGGCCGAATGGTAGAATCCTGGATGGATGGAGCAAAGCAGGCTTTTAGAAAGGAAAACGAAGTCACGGGAACAGGAAGTTTTGGTTTGACAACGTACCAGCAGTGGATCGTGAGAGCGAGTCAATGTGGTTGCGGCAGTCGACGAGGCCGATGATCGCAAAGTGCTCGGATCTATTGCCGAGTTGCTTGTAGATTGTGGTGGCCCTGAGTCCAGCAGCGACGAGAGCTCCAAACAGGTTGGTTTTCTCGAGAACGCAGCGCTACAAGCACAGAAAAACGATCTAGGAGTGAGAACAAGATGGAAAGAAGAAAGAGGCTGGGAAGAAATTATTGCCAGGAACAAACGAGAAGACCGTAGCTTGGAAGAAATGATAGAGCCAAAAAAAGCTTCGCAACTGAAGAGAAGAACACCCGAGCAAGCAACCAAAACTATGAAAAACGATTCAGGAGTGAAAACAAGATCGAAAAGGAAAGAAGCTCGGAAGTAACTATTTCCAGGAAGAAAACATCAACATCGTGGAGACGCGAATTATCTGAGACAAGTGAGAGTTTCGCAGAGGCAGCAAGAAGATCGTAGCTTCGAAGTCAAGGAAGGAATGATAGAACATGAAAGCATGGAACAAGAAGATAATCTCTTGGAAGTCAAGGATAAATCCGAGAAAACTACGCAACTCAAGAGAAGAACACCAGCAAGAAAAACTATGAACCAAGAAGGGAATTCAACTTCGCAACTCCAAGAGAACACCCAAGCAAAAAATACTATGGAACAAAGAAGATCACAGCTGGGAAGAACTCGAAAAGGATGGAAGAAGATCATACCTTTGTGAGGCTTTTGGTGTGCTCCAAGCTGAGAGAAGCTCGGACGAGCTCCGTTCTCCTGGGCTCTTCAACGTTGTCAAAAGGAAGCAGTGCATGGCGCAGTGATCCCAGCGAGTAGCCCAGCAAATCCACGCCGTGAGCCCAAAAGGGCTTGTTCGCCTGGCCCCTGGGAATCGCGTCCTCGATCGAGACAAGCTCCTCCACTCCATCGCCATCTTTTCCTTCTTGCTCGTCATCACCCCTCAGGCGATGGAGGAATTCGGACATGATCACCGCGGCCGCGGCTCTATCGCACGCCGCGGTGTGGACTCTGATGACAAAGAGAGATTTCTCGCCCAGGCGGTGGAGGCGAGCGAAGAACACCGGCACTGGCGCGTCGCGATCCGTCCAGGGATTGGAATTCATCTCGGATTCGATCGTCTGGAGCAGCCAATCTTCGGGATCGTCGTCGCCATGCGCTAGCTCCTGGATCGCTACAGTGGCATTGGCATTCACCTGGAAGGCGGGCTTGTCGGGCTCGATCCACACCAGCTGCGAGAGGAGGCGCGGATGCCTGGCCAGGACGGCGTCGAGCGCGCATTGGAAGACGCCCACATTCACGGATCGGCAGAACAAGAGGCCGAGGACTGTGATTCCCGTGCCGCTTTCCACCGCGCGGCACCAATTGTGCTCCGTGGCGCCCAGGATTCGATTGAAAGGACCTTCCTCCAGCCGAGGCGGTCGTGAGGAGCTCTCCTCGTCCGCCATAGCTAAAGTCGGGAAGATTAAACCTAATATTATAAAGTAGAACGTATGGTTTGCCTAAATGTTAGCTTCTTACCTTTAACATATAATAGTAAGGAAATTTGTACCAATTTAGGGCTTGTACCATCCAAACCCCAAAAACAATGGAAGGTGAGTAAGAAGACTAAAATATATTCCTTTTGATTTGGGTGCATAAAATTTTCACTACAAGACAAAGGATTTTGATCTGATTTTTAGAGATCTGTTTGAGAAGGAGGTGGCAGGGAAGGTTAAAGCGGTGTTCAAAAAGTGTTTTTGGAATCCTTAGTGGTGTGAGTGCATAAGCTTAGATTTTAATAAGGATTGGAGAGATTTATGGTTGGTTGTGGAAACACTTGAAAGAGCTCTAGAAGATGCTATTGTGATCCTCACACAAAGAAAATGTTTTTTTAAATATGTAAGTAATGTTAAATTTTTAGCTGAATATTATCGGCTATAATCTTACATTTATTTTTTAATCAAAGATAATGTTAAAAAATGCAATATCAAGATTGTTTTTTGGATATAATTAAGACCACCCATACCATAGTCTCGTCTTCTAAAAATTAAGTTATCCATCCATGAGTGCTTATCCCATAACCACACTTTAGCATCTTTAAAATGCTTAAATATATAAAGAACACCCTTCCCTAATATCCCTTCTTTGATCTTTATTAAATTCTTTTCTGTCCATAGTTGTGCTCACAAACACTGCCATTGATTTAAGGCTTGAAGGCTTGACCACTATATTCCATTGACCTTTGGAACTTTTTTGACACATGATTATATCTTTAGTCACTACACAAGAGGATTGCTCTTTTTCTTTTTTATAGTCCAGGACTTTAGAACAATATTTCAAAACACTATGGCCCAACTTGAGTTTTGTGGATACTCTCCCCACCTTTTGCCTCTAGGTGCCTAACCATGTGGCTAGAGCGAGGTTCTGATAAGTTATACTAGATATCCAAGCAGGTAGTGTGACCCACACTTGGATTGGGAGCATTGACCATTCGATCTCCCGAGGGAGCTATACTTGACTCTTGAATATTTCACTAGATTATCTTATATATTCATCCATATTCACTTTAGCCTTAAACTCCTCAGTAGTTATATCATCAACCATCATATGGATATACCCTTCCTTAGTCACATTAGCCTTTCTTGGCCAAATTGGTTCCATTGGAGTCATCCCTCTACTATCCTAGGGTTCAAATATAGAGGGAAAGAGCCCATGAATAAGAGTGAATAAGGGAGTATTCTTATTCCCTTATAAGAATAAGGGAAAGACCCCCTTTTTCAATTGGCTAAGGGTTTTGAGATATTTGAGGTTAAGTGTCCTTGGGTTTGAATAGTATTGGGTTAGGTGACCTCCTAAGAAGTCTAAACTCATGAGCTTATAGTTTGGGAAATGATTGCTTTGGGCTTTCACCTCTGGACTTGGATTCGGACTCAAATTTGGACTTAACTTTAATCTCAATCTTGGTCTTGGTCTTGGATTCCTTCTCAGACTCTATCTTAGATTTTTGCTCTGACTCTATCTCTGACTCTTTATCAGATTCCATCTTGGACTCCTTCTCAGACTTTGTCTTGGACTCCATATCGGATTCCTACTCGGACTCCATCTCAAACTCCATCTCAGATTCCTACTTGAACTTTATCTCAAACTCCCCTTCTCAAACTCTATATTGGACTCAGCCCTAACACTTCCATATATCACGACACTTGCCATGTGTTAGTCCTTCTTGTGCCCTTTTCTAAAGACTTATTCACCAATTGCTTTGCACTCATTCCACAAACACTTTATTCGGAATTCCATTCCTACCCTCAACTTTTTAAGTTATAACTTTTGGTTTAAACATGTTATGCTTGTTGGACTTTTGCTTCAATGACTACCATATAGCATACCTTCAACTCCACTTTTGGGCTTAGGGATTTGTGTCTCACAATTGATTGCAAGCAATTAAAGGGAATAACTCAAGAGACGATCTATAAGAGTTCAAATATAAAAGAAAAAGGCCCATTGTAAGTGACTAAATTTTTTATTTTACTTTAGTCACTTTTGACCACTTAAAGGAGTTTCACTTATAACCTTTATAATTTTTATTCTAGACTTGGAAATTTACTAGCCTCTGTAAGTGACAAATTTTTCTATTCTACTTTATTCGCTTAACCGCACCTCTAACCACTTGGAGGAGTCTCATTCACAACCTCTATAAGTCCCATTCAGGACTTAGGGCTTGCTAGCCCCAAAAATGGCATCCATGCCACTCAACCTTTACACTTGGTCCAAGTGCTCCACGTGTCCGATCCCATGATCGACACCCCAAGGTACCACTGACATATGAGCCCGTTACGCTAGGCCACGCTCATTCACCTTGGTCACATTGGTGGTCTAACACCACCTGCATTACAATCCTGTCTCTCCAAGATTGGGCCATCCGTCCATGAGTGATCATCCCAGATCCACTCCTTAACATCCTTAGGATGCCCACAGACATGGGGAATAGCCTTCCCCAATATCCCTTTTCCGGTCCCCACCAAATCCCTTTTTGCTCATGGCCGCATTCGCCAACACCGCCACTGGATCGAGGCCCACAGGCCTGACCACTAAGTCCCACGGTCCTCTAGGACTTCTTTGCCACATGACTGTATCCTTGGTCTCTACTCCAAAGGATTACTCCTCTTCCTTTCCACAGTCTGGGACTTTGGGACAACATTTCGGAACACCGTGGCCCTATGCGGGCCTCATGGGTACTCTCCCCGCCTTCCGCCTTTAGGTGCTCTAGCTATGGGCTTAAAGCGAGGTTCCATTGAGCCACGTTAGGTATCCAAGTAGGTAGTGCCACCCACACTTGGACTGGGAGCATTGGCCAGTTGATCTCCCTGGGGAACTAGAGCCGGCTCTTGAACACTTCACCAA